ATCCAGCTTGGTCTTCTTCCGACTCTGGAGCTTGCATCTTCTTCCGCGTAGTCTTACTCGTTTTCGTCTTCTTTCTTGTTTCTTCGACTAGCGGGCTTGGGTTTAGGTACGGTGTTGGCTTAACCGGTGAATCTGCAAATGCATACCGTTTCGCCTTCACTTTCCCTTGTTTTGTTAGCGGATCTTGACTTGCGTCAAGATCCGCAGGGGTCCCCGAGGGGACCTGGGGAGGATAGAGAGGTTTCTCTTCTAGATCCGGATCCGGATCCACCTCTCTTCCGTCGACAGAGTTCCTCCCAAAACTCCATCGATCCGCGGATCTGTTCATCAGCAGCGTCTTCGTCGATCCGACCTCCGACGACGCCTCTTCCCCTGGCTCAATCTTCACTTGAGCATCTTCTTGGGACTCACGGTGAAATCCCGAGTCACCAAAAGATCCGGGCACGCGCACCATTGTGGTGTAGCGGGATCAGCAAAATCTGCGAGATTGCCAGATCCAACTTACCAACTGCGCCCAGACACCGACTAACGGAGGGGGTCCCCCGATGATCCGTGTTCTGCTGAACTTTCCTCACCTTGTGTACCCGTCGGTAGGGCGGGATCTGCTCTCTCGGTAACTTCCGAAGAGTTCAAGTGATGAAGCTTGAGTGTCTTGGCGAGACGTGGGGATGGGGTGGAGCAGCAGTGGAAAATCTTCACTCTGCGTCCGTGGATGGTTCCGTATCCTAAGCGAATATTCGAGCTTATGGATCCGGGGCCTAGATCGTGGATCTGGCCGTAGGGTTGCCTTGCGGGTGTGTTCCCTTGCCTTTGTGTTGTCCTTTGAGTCGTACTTGCCGCCTCCTGTGACGGGATCTTGAGAGTTGAGAGCCCCTAGGGTGTAACCGACCAAGTAGTAAATTCGGTTAACCTGTCGGATCTGCACAGGTAAAGGAAAAGCTCACTAGGTTGTAGGATCTGGCCAATGTATTATCCAGTTATCACTACCAACACTAGATTCGCAATTCCCAACCTTCTCGGAGCTCGTACGGCCAATGTAGTTCCGGTTCTTGAGGGCAGGAAGGCACTTGCGTGTCACTGTGCAAATTGGAGTCTGTATTGATATTTAAGCCTATACC